TGCAAGGGAGGGGGGGTGCAGGATGAGGCCCTGGGACAGGGCAATGGGATGGGGGGGGGGGCAGGATGGGGCCATGGGACGGGGTGATGTGCCAGGCAGGGCCAGGAGTGGACCATGCTGCACCAGGTACCACTGGGATGGGACTGTGGCCCTTGGCAAAGCAACAAGTGTGGCCAGGATGGGACCGTGGGATGCCTGGGACAGGTCGGTGCTGCACGAGGCACTGCCAGGATGCGACCGTACTGCACCGGGCATGGGCAGAGTGGGACTGTGCTCGTGGAAAGGGATGGTGCTGTGCTGGGTGGGGGAACACCGGGCACGGCCAGGGTCAGATCCAGCCCAGGCTTCTCCCTGGAGAAGAGCTCACCTTGAGCTTCCTCCGGGCGTTGAACTTTTTCAGACACTCGACTGTCTCCTGCCTGTGCATCATGGAGGCCACAGTGGAGCGTTGCTGCAGGGGACAAGGGGGATCAGCGCCAGGTGTTGGTGGCCACCGGGCCAGGGGACACACACCGGGGCAGGGGGACGATGGGGGGACACAGCACTTACGCAGACCCACGGGTGCTTGAGGGCTTCGTGGGCTGTGATGCGCTTGGCGGGGTTGATGGTCAGCATCTGGTTGATAAGGTTTTTCGCTTCGGGGGTGACCGTGTCCCACTCGGGTGAAGGGAACTGGGGGGTGATGGGACACAGGGGGGTGATGGCTGGGGAGGGGCAGCCCCACAGTGCCCATGTCCCTCCACCTCCCACATGTCCCCAACCAGCCACCGGAGACATGGCCCAAAGACTAGCTGTAGCATCCCTCAGTAGGTTCCAGAGTTGATAGGCCAGCCAGCCACTGTGCGGGGGGTGCCTGGCACCGGGGACTTACATCGTAGGCACCGGCCTTGATCTGTTGGTAGAGTTTGTGCTGGTCCTCGTCCCAAAATGGCGGGTAGCCCACCAGCAGGATGTACAGGATGACACCTGGGTGAGGGAGAGCAGAGTCAGGGCTGGGGGGGGGGGGGCTGGGGACGCGGGACAGCGGGGGCCCCAAGATGGCCTGTCCCCGTGCCAGCCTCCCCAGTGCTGCCAGGATGGCACCGTCCCCCACGGCAGCACCCACCCAGCCGGGAGAGCGCAGCATGGCCGGGGCACGCAGCCCGGGATGGGGAGAGAGATGGGGACAGGGTGGGACCGGGATGGAGATCAGGCAGGAGTCGGGCAGGGAAGGGCTCTTACCGCATGCCCAGATGTCCACGGGTTTGCCGTAGGCCTCTTTGCGCAGGACTTCAGGGGAGAGGTAGCCAGGCGTGCCCGCAAAGCCTGGGATGGAGACGGCAGGAGCTGAGCCGAGCCGCCCTGGCGGGCAGGGGCAGGGGCAGGGACAGGGACAGGGTGGGATGCAGTGGGCATGGTGCAAGAACACAGTGGGCATGGCACAGGGACATGGTGGGCACGGGACAGGGATGCGGTGGGCCCGGGGGGGTACGCAGCGGGCGGGATGCTGTGGGCACGGGGCAGGGATGCAGCAGGGATGGGGCAGGGCACGGTGGGCAGAGGACAAGGACGCGGCATGGCACAGGCACAGGGTGGGAATGGGGGGATGCGGTGGGCACGGGACAGGGGTGCGGTGGGCACAGGAGAGGGACGTGGTGGGCACAGGAGATGGACACGGTGGGCACAGGAGAGGGACACGGTGGGCACGGGCAGGCGGTGGCACTCACCAAACCAGGCCTGCTGATCGCCTTGCACCTCGATGGCGAGGCCGAAGTCGGCCAGCTTCACCGCCGCCCCTTTGCACTTGCTGGCCAGGAGCAGGTTCTCCGGCTGCCACAGGCAGCGCCAGGCACGGGGTGAGGAGGGGACAGGAGGAACCGGGCCGGGGTGGGGGGAAGAGGGGGGTTTTGGCAGCCCCCACGGGGGGGGCCCGCCCCCCCCCCCGCCCCCCCCCCCCCGTGCTGCAGGCAGGGGGGCTGAGCCCCGTGCCGAATGGCCAGGGGGTGCCCCGGGTGGCAGAGCCCCACAGCTCAGCGTCACCCTGTCCCCATGTGTGTCCCCGACCCACCCCATAGCCAAGCTTGAGCCTCTCCCCACCCTGCACCCCAATGGGGAGATGTGGGGGCGAG